ATCATCATCCATCTCTTTTTCCCCCTCCCCAGATAACAAAAATCTTAAGTTAGTATCATTTACAGTCATCTTTTAGTATTTTTCATAGATATGCATGTATCCATACATAACATACACAATTGGATTTTTGCTTTGAAATTTTATACCTATATTATTTCCATTTAATTTTTCTTTCGCCAAACATAATGTTTTGGAATTGCTCATGTTGAGGTGTATAGATTACATTCATGAATTTTAATTGCTATTATAGAGAGCATATACTTTTTCCTTTTCCTAATAAAATACATTGCTTAAACATTTTTGCTATTAAAGAGTCTATGATATCATATATTTGTACACAAATTCCTTTTTCATATAATTTTTTTCTTTGTAGAGACAGAGTCTTGCTTCATTGCCCAGACTGTTCTCAAATTCCTGACCTCAAAGGACTCTCACTCTTCAGCCTCCCAACACTCTGGGATAACAGGTGTGAGCCACCATGCCAGAAAGGGAAGGGTTGGATCTTTACTTTTGCAAATATTTACCTTTGCTCAAAATGGCCACATGATTTTCCAAAACAGGTTTAATAATTTACACTCCCACCAAAATGGCTTAATTTTTTTTCCTCCTCCTTTCATCAATGCTTTGAACTGCCAGGCTTTTAAATTTTGGTCAGTCTTATGGTTGTTAGGTGGGATCCCATTCTGATACTGATTTAGAGAGTTTAAATGCTGTTTAGATTTCCTCTTCTATCAAATTTCCTTTTCATATCTTTGCCTATAATTATTTTGGATTCAGTGGTTTTCTCACTGAGTTCTTCATTTATTCTGTATAAAATCTTTTATCAGCTCCATGGGTTTCAAAACTCATCCTCCCTCATTTTGATATGCCTTTTAATTTTGTTTACGATGTCTTTAGTCATGTTGAAATTTTAAATTGTAATTTAGCTAAATTTATTATTCATTCTTAACAACTTTGCTTTTTGTGTCTCATCTAAGATAGTTTTTCTGTCTAAATATCATAAAGACATTCTCTTATATTTTATTATAATGGTTTTTATATACATGACTTGTATATTTGGGTCTTTATTTATTTATGGAATTTATTTTTATATATGCAGTTAGAGATCAAATTTTATCTTCCTTCATATGAAGAACCAGTTTTTGCCTCATTTATTAAATACCTATATTTCTACTGATGATACTGTCACTCACAAAATTTACCAAGTACCAAGTGTACGAGAGTCTGTATCTAGGCTTTCTATTCAGCTATATTTATCTATTCGTTGACACCTGACTCTACACTATTGTTTTAATTACTAGAGCTTTATAATAAATAAATGTATCCTTCTTCTGTACGTGTTTAAAGTGATCTGGGCTTTTCATAGTTCTTTGTTAATTCCTATGAATAATAGGAAGCAATTAAACAAATTCCATTTAAAAAATCTGTCAAGATTTTATTTGAACTGCATTGCATCTGTAGAATATTTCAGTTCCTTATAGATTTCACACCCCAACTTGTTTATTATGTATTCGTTTTATACAGATAATGTTTTAGATTTACCCTAAAAATTAAAGATTACTCGCTATTACTTTTTGTAATTCTTTCTTCCTTCTAAATTCCATTTTCATCTTCCTGATGTACACCTTTTGGAATTCTTTCAGTGAATGTCTGTGAATGGTAAAGACACTTTGTCTTTGTCTGAGTGTTTATTTTGCTACTACTCTTTGTACCAAAGATGGGGAGGAACTACCTAGATTCCTCTTCAGCAACCAAGGACTTATTTCCTCAGCTGCTGGGGTGCAGAAAGCTAACACAATTCAGCTGTTGGGCTTCTTCAGTAGTTCAGCTCAAGGTTACACCCTTCTCCTTGGCAGCTATCACCCAATGACTGAATGTCATATGTGTATAAAGACCTAGTCCACTTGCCCTAACTCAGGACAACTCTGAAGGGACATCCCAGATTAAAAGTCGAAACCTTCTTCGCTGAGTCTACATTCCAGGTTAATAACTGTTTCCTCTGTTTAATCCTGCTACCATTTCTTCCACAAGTGTTCCTCAAAGCATTCCCTAATATACTCCTTATACTGCTCTCTGACTCAGTATACTTCATGAGGAAGCCAGCCTAAGTCAGTGTCGGGAACGGTACAAGAAAGAAGAGGTTAATATGGGATTTATGAGTTGAATCATAAGTCACTTGACCTTCAGTGAGGACCACTCACTGGTGATAGGTGTAGGACAGACAGACTTTGGCACAAGGTAACAGTTTAGTAGTTAAAATTTTCATCAGTAATGAAACGGGCTGGTGTTCTAACATGCTAGTGGGCGAAATGTTATCAGGCATTTAAGAAATACGAAAGAAATAGTAACCTTAAGGACAGTGGCACTGGCTGCTGCTAAGTAAAATTGATTCTTTGGAAATAGCAAAAAGCCGAAAGTGGTTAATTGGCTATTAAAATCCAAGAGTAAAATCCAGAAGGCCTCTTTGGTAGAGAATAAAGAGGCATTTAGCTCCTGCAGTGGGAGGGCAGAAAAAGCGGAGGAACAGGCCAGGCACTTAATCATAAGTGTGGCAAAGCTCCAAAAGAGATTAACTACAAAACCCAGCTAGCTGTTATGCCAAGGTCAAGATGCTGGATCGGAAAGAAAGAGACCCCGATGTAGGGCGAGGATAGTCGAGTTTCAGTTAAAAACAGGCAAAGCACACACTAGAGAAGAGAATGTGGGAGGATCTGTTCACAAAGGAATGGAATCCAGGGGGCACAGTGGAAATAAGAGACAGAGGACGGTAGTATGGAACTTCGTCAGGCATCGGAAAGCACAGCTGGTGCTGCAGTCAAGAAAAGGGGTGTGAGGCAGGGAAGATGCAGGTACTGGAAACGGTTCCAGAAGAATCAGGCAAGAACTTGCTGTTTGAGTCAACTGATCCAGTACCAAGTTTGTAAGTTCATTTTCCTTTTAGATGTCTCCTTTTTCTGAAACAAATAAAACGGAGGGGCCCTTCCCTCCTTTTCCCTCCTCCAGCTTCCCCATCTCCCCCATCTCCCTTTTCATCTCCAGCATCCTCTTTCTTCTCTGGCAGGCCCTCCGGCTCAAGAGTGGGAGCCCCGCCCCCGCAGGAGTGGGCGTGCCCGGGGCAGAGCGACTAGAAGAGGGCGGGTCCTTTCCTGCGACGTACGCCGTAAGGGCGTTGTGACGTAAGAGGACATCCGGTGTTTCGTCTCCCGGTGTCCGACGCCGCCTCCGTCAGCCTTCCTGGGCGTTGGTAGCTTCTTCCCCGGACTCCGGGTCCGCAAAGTGGATCGACTGCTCCGGTCTCACGTCACTCCCTGTCCCTCGGCCCCCCGGAGTGAGTCCGGCCTCCCCGCGAGAGGGCGCGAAGTCGGCCCGGAGCGCGC